ATGTTTTGGGAACTACATCCTCATTTAGCAAACAATTTGCTGTGGTCCCTATTGATCCTTCTCAAGAATAGAACTGCCTTGGCAAATCTTGTGCCTAAAATGGGATCCAAACAACCAAGGGCCATGGTAAATGGAACAGAAACAACCACAGAAGGAAACATGGTAACTCTTGCATCCTTTATCCAGGAGAGAAAACAGATTGTGTCTTTCTTCCTTTGGCAAAATAATCTGCTGAAGGTTGATCTGAGTGCTCCAATAGAGTAACACAAGAAATGGGTCTCAGAGAAGCCTGCAACTCAGCAATGTAGTGTGGTTCTTAGCAGACCATGGGCAACAGTCAGATAGACTAGGCACAAAAACCCAACCAGCAACACCACCTACAACTGCCCGCCTCTGAGCAAGTTATTGCCTGCCTCTTTGTGCCTCAGTTTCTCTTTTGTAAAATGGATACATGACCACCCAGCTCAAACACGCTCTGAGAGCTTTAAATGGGATGGATGATAAAACAAAGCCTGACAAATAATGCTCTACATGCATCAGTTTGCTACCTGTCTTCTCTTCTCAGTTCAGTATATATTATCTCTGACTCCAGGTCCCTCAGAGATAGGGAGGTAAGCCAGGGCCACCCACCATAGCAGTGTTAAGGGCCACAGCCACAGCATCTCCCTGAGAACCTAGTTCTCAACATTTTCTATCTTCAGTGAACACTAAGTGCCTGGTTTTCTCTCTGCCATGTAGGAATACAGATGGCTACTTTCTCTGCTATTTTAAGTTTGCTTTAGGTGCTTGTGTGATGTTCAACATGGCCTAAAGTGTCATGGCAACATTTTAAGGGGAAAAAAATCAGAAACTAATAAAATACCGAGTTTTTTCAGTAAATATGCTAAGGGAAGGGATGAGAATAAAAATCACAAGCTTTTCATGAGTCAGCAAGTCTGTTAGGTTGAGACCATCAAACTATGCAAATATGGAAGACAAAGGATATCCCAGAAGTAATCAATTCTTCCTCAGCTGGTCAACTTTTACACCTTATCCCCAACCCAAAAAGTGACTTTGCATCTTCAGTTTTGTTTTTTTTAAAGACTATAAATGATGTCATCTGCATAAAGTCTCCTGCCCAGCATGACTCAACAGTAGGTCACATACCATCTCTGTTATTATTATTTGGGAATTATACTGCATATTATATATGTCAAGTGCCTTCCAATCATCTTTATTAGTCTACATACCACCAAACTAGCATCCTTAAATATCTTGTTTCTGTTTTATAGAAGAGACAAAAAGGTCAAGTGATTTGCCTAAGGTCATACAGCAAGTTTCTTAAGATCACAGGTAAAGGGAAAAAGCTGTGAGATCTGGGAGAGGCTGCTACAGAGCTGGGGTCCTAATTCCTCTCTAGTGCTCCCTAAAGGCAAGTTGGGTAGTACGAATACAGATCTTATTTTAATTCTCATCTTCCCCTGTAAGATGTGACCAGGTGTGAATAATAAGATATGCTTCCTTTTGTCACTCCTAGAAAGGAAACTTTCAATAATTTCTCCCATCTCTGCCAAAGAAATGACCTAGGGGGAATCAGACCCAACATCTCTCTTACACTTTCTCTTTTATAACAACAAATCCTGAGCTATAGGTAAGAGAAACCAGGAAGGAAAATTGAACCCCAAATATGACATAACTTTATTCTAGAACTCTCAAGTGCCTCTTTATACTTTTATTCTAAACCTAAACAAGCATGACCAAGACTAGGGGGTGACTATGGTACTTATGGCCAGAGACTATGCAGACAAATTACCCCCCAAGAATATGTCCACTTACCTATGTCCAATGAGATTTGCATAGTCATGAATGTGCATGTACACAAACATATTCAGGGTCTACTAGAGCCCACTGGATAACAAAGCCATGTAGTTTACCTCACTTTAAAATGCCTCTAGAATGGGTGTTTAGGGGCAGCTATAGAAGAAGGCAAGAAATGCAGGACAAGGAAGATAGGACCTTTCCTGAACTAAATTGCCTTTCCCTGACTTCAGAGTATCTGAGAATCTTAGTTTCTTGGCAAGCTTGCTTGGCATGTTGCTCATGGCAGGCACGGCCATACAGGTGTGCTCTGGGTTTCAGGCCAAGAAGTGGGCACCTCCTTCTCCCAGAAACCACTCCAGAGAGTGGTTTGGCAGCAGTTTGGTGTACTGGATCTAAGAAACAGCAAAACCCCTTCCCCTGAATGCACCCTGCTCTGTGCCAATACATGTTTTATAGGGATCAGAAAGACTGGGGGGATGGAGGGGGGATGGCAGGGGAATGAAGATTCTTTGCAGATGGGGGAAGGAAAGAAAACAACAAAGCCAACACTATAGGCATATATTTTTCCATACTGTAGAATAATAATCCCTTTATCCAGCCAGTCTGGAACCAGCAGTTCCTGATAATTGATTTCAGACTTTGGATGGAAACTTGGGAAGGTATGGATAGCTGGAGAATGGGAAGAGACAGGGTGAAGCCCATAAAAAGGACAGTGAAGTAGGGGGGTGGCTTAATGAAGATAAGAAAACTAAAGACTTCAGACACAGAGGCCAGACCCTAATACTGTCAGGTAACAAGCTGAGATAGCTTCTCCAAAGGAGTCTTGGACAAGGATGGTCATGATAGTGCACCAGGCAATAGGCCAGGTTGTGGTCCTGGCCCTAAGACTCTGGGCAAATGCACAACCTGTAAAGTCCGTCATAGCTAGCTCTGACCAGTCCTAGCTTCCTTCCATCTGCCCTGACAGTCATTCCATTCATGCACATACTCATTGAGTATTATTTGTTCTGGGCTGGGGTAGTATGGCAAATCTCTTCCATGAAGGGCAAAATATTTTAAAGTCTAAATATTTTAGGCTTTGGGGGCTATACAGTCTATGTCACAACTACTCAACTCTGCCACTGCAGCACAAAAGCAGTCATAGACAACATATACACAAATGAATACTGCTATGTTCCAATAAAACTTTATTTATGGATACTGAAATGTAAGTTTCATATAATTTTTATGTATTGTGAAATATTATTCTTTTGATTTTCCCCCCAACTATTTAAAAATATAAAAACCATTCTTAGCTCAAAGGCCATAGAAAAACAGACAGCAGGTAGGATTTGGCCTGTGGTACAGTTTGCCAACTTCCACTCTAGAGATAAAGTGGTGAACAAGAAAAGATCTCCATATTCCATGGTTCTATAACTACCATTCTAGAGGCCTCCTCTGGCTTTGGAATGGCCCTATGAATGTAGGCCTGCTTCACACATTGGTGTAGGCTGGCCTTCTGTTCCTTTAAAACTTCATAGAACCATGATGTCCACACTGTGGGGTCCCAACCATTTATGGCCCCCTTGGTTGTGCCAGGGGCTCCTCACAGACAATAAGGTCTCAGGTTTATGGAAAAGGTTTGGGTTAAGTGTCCGAATGAGATGAATGGGAGGCAGTGGCAGAAGAAATCTGTATGTGCGTGATGAGGAAAGCTATGACAGAGCAAAAGATTCAGTAACCGTTTCTCCCAACAATTCAGAAGAAAAATAAGATTAAATGAGATCGCACCATTATCTGTATGTGTTGGGCAAGTGGGTGGTGAAAGCTGATAGAGAATGAATGAGATAACACTGAGCTATGGAGACCTTTTTTTTTTTATCCTCACCCAAGGACATTTTTTTTTTTTTTTTTTTTTTTTGCATTTATCTTCAGATAGAGCAGGAGGGAGAGACGGAGGGAAAGAGAAAGAGAAACACTGATGTGACAGAGAAGACACATTGACTGCCATCCACACAACCCCAACCAGGACCGGGGACAAACTGTAACTGAGGAACATGCCCTTAGCGGGAACTGAACCCGGGACTCTCTGGTCTGCGGGCCGACGCTCTAACCACTGAGCCAAACCGGCCAGGGCTCTTAAAGCCATACTGTATCATCACACCAGCCTTCCTCCAAGGCTCCTTCCAGAATCTAGCTAAGATGCCTTTCCAGAGAACGCTGGTCAAAAAAACTACCATACACATGTATCTAATGAACTCTGATAGGGGCACCATTACTAGTGAGCTCAATCATAATTGATTGAGACCCCTACCAATGTTTGCAGATACAGAGGCAGGTTCTGTAGCATCGCCCAGAGGCCTACAATACACACCCAAATATGCCCTTTCTAAAAAGGATACCAGGTCTAGAGGACCACATGATGAGAACCTAGAAGGGTCTTTAGAGCACTGCTCAAGGCAACAAGGACCATACAAATCCTAAAGGAGTCACTGCTGCACCTGTAGCCCACTAGGACTCTTCTACCATCTTCAACCAGAAAATCCTTAGAATCATGAAAGTACAGAACCAGGGAGCTAGATGTGACCTTAAAGGTTATCCAGGTCAACCCCTTCATCTGACAATGCAGAAATTTGAGCCACAGAATGGGTAAGTTGACTTGTCCAAGATCACAAAGTTTGTAGTGTCAATGACCAAGTCCTGCTTCACTAAATTACAATACCTCAACTCTGTACTCACTCTGAGAAAAAGAACAGAAAGACAAGAAACAAACAATAAAGAGCTAGCAATCAGTAAGTGCTTACTGTGTTAACTCAATCTTCACAACCACCTTATGAAGTAGGTACTATTATTTTTCACCATTTTATAGCTGAGAAAACTGAGGTTTACCGAAGTAAAGAGACTTGCAGTCTGGTTCCAAAGCCTGCACCCTTACCTGCACACCACGATCTGAATCCCACACCTGATAACTACAGGAAGGGAGAGGGGTGATAATGTTATCACCAGCATATTTCTACACAACGGTCCTCTATCTGGCTCATTAGGCCCCTTGGTGACACATCTGCAGTACTGGCTCCCTGCTATACCACAGCACAAAAGCCCCCCACCCTGCTCTCCCTGTAACTGCCCAACAGACAGAGAATCCCCTATCCCACCTTTTAGGAGAAACAAAGGTATTGTGTCTTTTCCCTCCCACAGACAGAAGACAGGTCAGGACTCACCTGAGGCAAGTCCGTCTCCAAGGAGGGTGCTAAGGATCACCAGCGGAAGGAACACTCCATGTCCCACAGAGGCCACGGCAGACGCTGAGGTGCTCTTTGGTGCTATCCTGCCATGGCACATCTTTTATCCGTCCAAGTTATTTTAAAAAGAAAAAAAAATCAAAAGCCAGAAGAATTCTAAAGTCAGCCAGGTGTAGATTCACCTATAGAAAACAAACAAAAAAACAAAGATATAAGTGAAGTGAAAACTTTGTCCATATATTAGTTACAAGTACTAGGCACTTTGGTAAAAAAGCCATAATCACATACAAAGTTGAAAGAATTCTAGCAACTGAATTCCTGCTTTCAAAAAAAGAGACAAGCACATAAGTCGTTTTTCAACTTCTTTCTGGGAAAATACCAAAGCCTGCAGCAAGCTGCCATCAGCATCAGTTCACCTGGAGATCTGTTGGGCACAGCAAAGCTTTCAGAGACTGCCCTGGCTCTGCCTGGCTAACTGCCAAAGAGGCTCCAGCAGAGAGGAAGAGAAAGGCAGCAGCTGACACAGAGCAGCTACACCAGAGTCTTGCTTTGCCTTTGCCACCTGGACTCAAAGTTAAGTTCAACATAACCAAAAGAAAAAAAAAAGAGAGAGAGAAAGAGAGAGCACGTGTTAAAGGGAGAACTACACCGCCTAGAGAAGGAATGCACAGTGGGAGCCAAGGGCCCCCAGCTTGGCCTGCTCAACTGCCTGAGGATGGATGAGCCCAAGGATCTGACTATGACTTAACAGCTCACCCAACACACCTGTGACCGACCCTAAAGGCCATACTTGTTGGCTGTACCTGACAATAAGTGGGGGAGCATGGCTACAGTTGTTAATTAGCCCCACCACCCACTCTAGTTCAGACAAAGACTTCAGAAGAGTAGGAACCAGTATCTTAAAAACAAAACAAAACAAAAAAAAAAAACAGGGGTCAAGATTTTTAAGGAAGTTTTGCTATGTGCCTTCAGGGAAGCAGTTGGATTGATGGTATATTATATTTTGGACCTATTATGTTTTACTTAACTCATTTGATTTCATTCATCCTAGTTTATAACAGGTATTCCAAATAATAAGATTACCCTTCTTTTTCATTTTAATTCCAGATACACCTCCTTCTCCATTAAAAGACCTTATGTAAATAGAGAAGCCTGCCATCTACAACCCTAATAAAGGATAACCCTGAGACTGTCAGGAATATTATCCATACCTGACGTAAATCCATGTCTGAAGCCTTGACTCAGGCCTATATTCCCCTTATAAAAAGAGTTATTGCAGCCCTGCCAAGTAGCTCAGTTGGTTGAAACGTCCCATACGCCAAAAGGTTGCAGTTCCATTCCTGGTCAGGAGACATATCTAGGTTGTGGGTTTGATCCTCAGTCAGGGTGCTGACTTTTTATTTTTTGCATTTATCATCAGAGCGAGAGGGAGAAAGAGAGAGAGAGAAACATTGATGTGAGAGAGAAACATCAAGTGGTCGCCACCCACACGACTCCAACCGGGGCCAGGGACAAACCTGCAACCGAGGTACATGCTCTTAGCAGGAACCGAACTCGGGACTCTCTGGTCCGCAGGCCGACGCTCTAACCACTGAGCCAAACCAACCAAGGCCAGGGTGCTTACTGATGTTTCTAACATTAATGTTTCTTTCTCTCTCTCCCTCTTCCTCTCTCTAAACAAATCCTCAGGTAAGGATTTAAAAAAAATAAAAGTTTTACTGTAAACAGCAATGAGTTGTCTCAGTCCAAAGGAAAAGCGGCCATCACGATCTTCAATGAACATGAGCCAGGGGTTTAAGAACAGAGCTAACTACCCACTACCTACAAATACTTTTTACTAGTATTGTGTCCTCAGCCTCAGCTTTTACCCAGACTCCAACTTGAGCCTTTATAGCTATAGAACAGGACAATTCATGGAGAGTTCTAGGGGTGGAGTCTGTGAGTGACCCAAAACAGTACACAAAACTGTGTGTATATAAATGTGTGGAATGTGTATCCATTTATGTGGCTAAGAACCATAGAGTCAGAATACCAGAATTCAAATGTTTCTTTTATTATGACCAAATTACTCTTTCAGCCTCAGTAAAACAGACAGTAACCTTACTGTCTTCATAGGGTTGATGTAAGGATTAAAATCAAAGTACTCGACACAGTGCCTGAACTTTGCAAGTCCTCAGTAAACAGTGGCTGCTATTTCTATTGTAAGTAATAATAAGATCTGAGCTGCGGTACCTTGGAGGTTTATCAGGCTTCACCTCCTCATTTGACAGACGCCAAACCAAGGTTGTAAGAGGTTAAAGGATATGCCCAGGGCCACCAGCCAGTTAGGAATGGCCCTTTGGTGCTGCTGTTTTACATAGAGCCAAACAGGTAATCCCACCAGGCAGTCACCCTTCCCTTAAGGCAACAACCACTGGATCATCGAGAATGACACCTGAGAATGACATCACAGCACATGCACAACAAATATTTCTGCAGTGAATGGACGAGGACAGATTAGAGTGGTGCTTAGGTGTTTTGTGCAAGAAAAGAAATCATCAGGAAAGACTACCCAGAGGAAGTGATGCTAAGCTCACTGCTAAAGGATACGTCTAATGAAAAAGAAGGAAAAAAAGAAGATACCAAGTACAAGTGGGTCAAAGTGGGTCAAAGCAAGGCAGAGGATAGGCTAAGGAGTTTAAACTGTACCCTGAAACCACGTGGAGCTTATAAGGAATAGAAACAGGGAAGTTACAGTACCAAATTCATTTAGAAAGCTCACTCTGGCAGGGATTTTAGAGGATTGGGGAGAGGGAGATGCTAAGTGGTAAAGAACCTTAAATTTAGTATTTTATAATTAATGTAGAACTCTTTGACAATATCTGTCAAAATGCATATATATTCTCTAACCTATCAATCTGTCCTCAGAAATCACATGTACAATGACATATATGCGGGATATTCACTGCACTATTTATACTAGCAAAAGATTGAAGGGAAACCGGTTAAATAAGCTGCCATACATCCATACAACAGAATACTATGCAGTGATTAAAAAATAATAATAAAAATAAAAAATAACTGGGAAGTCCAGTCTGCAGTAGTATGGAGTGACTTCCAATAGTAAGTGAAGAAAACCATTTGTATGAGTGAGAGTATTTTTTAAACACACACACACACACACAGACCTCTATGTGCATTGAAAATATCTGGTATAATGCACAAGATACTGGTAGCTTACAAATTGCCTTCAGGAAGGGGAACTGAGTGGTTAACAGAGAAGAAAACTAATTTTTCACTGAATGCATTTCCTTTTAATCTCGAGTGTTGTATCTTGTGCATGTACTACCTATTCAAACAGATAAAATATAAAATAAAATTAATATAGCAAGGCCATCCTGTAGACCACATCTTTCCTCCCACAACAAACTGACATTCAAATAAACCTAAGTGCTCCCTCTGCCAGGAATACAGTCACCTTCAGGGCTCAGCACACGATCGTCTTCTGGAAGAATTCTTTTCTGACACTTCACATCATGCCCACCTCCAACAGAACGAACCCCCTTTTTACTCCCAAAGTGCCACTCTGATCAGCTTCATCCATTCACTACAGAAATAGCACGTGCTGTGATGTGGCAAAAGCAGGAGTCATTATTGATGATCCACTGGTTGTTGCCTTGAGGAAATGGTGACTGTCTGGTAGGGTTATCTGCTGTGGTTGCATATGGAGGAGCCAGTATAGACTTGGGAGAAAGATGCACACATATGAGCTCCTATTTCATTTTGTTTTAAAGAAACAGCTGGCTCCTCCCTTACTGACAAGGGACCAATTCCACCATAAAGCCTAAGACCTGATCAAGTACACAACAGATGGTGTGATGAAAATGGGGCTTTGCAAAAAAAAGAGAGAGAGAGAGAGAAAAGATAAATGGAGGACCGCCAATGGAGTGTTTACATGCAAGTCTGGGTCAAGGGTCAGTGCTTCAGAAATAATACAAAGAAAAGTGAATCCCCACAACCCTCAGAGTATTGCCCACAACAGGAGAATCCAGCTACTGTGGAGAAAGGGTCACAATATACATTCAATAATTTAAAGAAAGTATCTGCTTTGAACACAGGAAGGAAGGGGGAGGGTAGAGGGAGGGAGGAAAGAAGGCAGGCAGGCCGGCCTGTCCTTGAATTGTAGTTTTAGACCAAATCAAAAGAAAAACATTTTAGAACAAATTAAGACTAGGTATTCATTATCCCTAGAGAAACACACAGGCAAAAACTTAAGGGAAAAGAATGAATCCATTTCACTTCAGTATTCTTTTGGTATGTTAGTGACCACTTCCCCCAATTTAAAAAAATTATGATTAAGTAGAGACAGAAAGCAGAATAGTGGTTATCAGGAGGGTGGAATAGGAAGTTTACATTGTTTAATGGGAACAGAATTTCAGTTTTGCAAGATGAAAAATGTTATGAAGATGGATGGTGGTGATGGTCACACATTATGACTGTACTTAATACCACTGAACTGTACACTTAAAAATGGCTGAATCCTGCCCTAGCCGATTAGGCTCAGTGGTTAGAGTGTTGGCCCTTGGACCAATGAGTTGCCGGTTTGATTCCTATCAAGGGCATGTGCCTCGGTTGCATTCATCCCCAGCCCTGGTTGGGGTGGTGTGGGAGGCTACCAGTCGACATGTCCCTCTCGGATGTCGATATTTCAATCTCTCTCTCAAGTTAAATAGAAAAATGTCCTCGGGTGAGGATCGAAAAAAATAAAAATGGTTGCATCCTGGCCGGTATGGATCAGTGGTTAGAGTGCCGACCCACAAACTGAAGGGTCGCGGGTTCAATTACTGGTCAAGGGCATGTACTGGGTTGTAGGCTCAATGCCCGGCCCCGGTCAGGGTGCATGAGGGAGGCGACCAAACAATGTGTTTATCGTTGTTTCTCTCTCTCCTCCTTCTCCCTGCCTTCTACTCTCTCTAAAACTCAATGGAAACAATATCCTCCAGTAAGGTTAACAACAAAAAAAATTTTTTTAATGGTTAATGGTTGTTACTTTTATGTTTATTTTATCACAAGTTTTTTTTTTAAATGAAAAATTATGATTAATGAGGAACCTGGAACTCAGCTTCATTTTCAAAGCCTGCATTCACCCACCCTTACATGGCATATAACATCTAAACTTAGAAATGAGAAGAGAACCTGAGGCTACAGTAGTCCCACCTCTGCCACCAACCAGATGGCTGGTCATAACTCTCTGGCTTTCATGTCCACATCTTAAAAAATGGCTTGAAGGTCTTTCTTGGCCACAGAATTCTCTATGGCATTCAAACTTCTCTTTGTATAAGCCATCTCTTCCTCCAGCAGCCCATTTTCCCCTCTAAAATAAAGAGCAGGGAGTCATGGAAAAATCTGCATTCACGCTTCTTATTTTCTTCCTTGGGACTACAGCTGCTACCCTAAAAGAATATAGTAAAGGAAGACCCCATGAGCTAGACTGTCAGTCCCTCAAGGGCAGGGTCAGGCCTTCCCAGCTCTGTAAACTCAGAACCATCAAAAGCTGAGTGACTGTGCTCGGCCGAATGTGATGTCATGAACATTCATTTCCTGTCCACAATGACCCTCTAAGAGGAAGGACACTGTCCTTAAGCCATGGCTCTGATCTTGGGGAAGCCACTTACCTCATCTCTACCTATGTTTCCTCATCTGTAAATCGGGGCTGTTGCTTGCTTTGAATATCTCACTAGTCTCTAGTGAGGCTCAGAGAAACACACTATGAGGGACTACTCTGTAAACTGAAAGACTTGGGTCTTTCTATTTATAGGCTTAGCCCAGAAGCCATGATAGCAAAGGACTAGCTGAGAAACTTCTCATCATAAAAATGATAATGACAAGCATGGTAGGTTTATGATGTTAAGCAGAACCTGGAATATAAGCTCAAAGTTCACACAGTCTGCTTGCTTGTTGCTGCCACAGATGGTTCCAGGTTAACCAAAGAGCCTACTAAGATTAAAAGTGTCCTGGAAGTCATCTTCAAAAATGGCTCACAGCCTGGGGAGGCAGCAGCAGTAGGTGGAGCTAGCCATGAAACAGCAAGGGCACCCTGTCCCCTAGACACCTTGGGTCCCAGATCTCCTCAGGCCATATGCCTGGTTGCATTGGGTTCTTTTACTCTGCCGAAAATGTCATAATCCTGCTGGAGAGACAGGGCTGAATCATACTCTACTGAGCTCTCCTCTGCGAAGGCAAAAGGGTCTTGACTGTCAAACTTGGCTCCCAGATCCTAGGTGGGTTTCTCTACAGTTCTGTGAGGTCAGCCTAGGATAAATTATTTCCTAAACCTTGGCCCATTTCTCCATTATTTAGGAGAGGGGATTGGATCAGTAAAATCAATGTAAATCCTTTTCTTGCCTCAAACTAGTTCAGAAAGGGAATGGTGGTGGTAGAGAGTCTGGAACAAGAAAGTTTATTACTCTGCTTAATCATCTTCCCTGACCCTGATACTGCCACATGATGGCGAAGACAAAGCATATTGCATGAAGTGTGAACAGAATTTAACTAGTTAATTACATTTCAAAGAATAACAATAAGAAGTCCTAACTCTGTGAAGTCAAAGTTCCCAAGAGCAGTGTGATAAGAGAAGTGACCAACATGTTAGGGAGGCCCTCCCTTACTTCTCCTTTTCTTCCCTTCAGTGTCTCCCTCTTCACTCCCACCCAGCCTAGAGTGGCTGGGTCACGGCAGCAAAAGATATCTAAAGGATGATCCAATCTTAATACCTCCTACTCTCTTTCCTTAACATGACAAAATTAAGCTACTTCTAAATGTCTTCAGTTTACTCCCCCCCCCCCCCGCCCGATATGTCTCCTTTCAATCTTGCTAACCTCTGTATGTTCCCCCTCCTTTTGTGCCACTAACATCTGAGTACTTCAACAAGCACAGAGTCTTCTGTTGGACTTTGAGATCTTTGAGAGCCAACATGTTACCTAATCTATTTCCTCTTAATCTCCAGTACAAAAGCCCAAAGTCACAAACATCAAACTCTTGTTAAAATTCACTACCAACACCCTGGCCTGTGGGGTTCAGCTGGTTGAGCATCCTCCCATGCACCAAGAGATCACAGGTTCAATTCCTGGTCAGGGTCCATGCCTGGGTTGGGGGCTCAATCCCCACTAAGGAACGTGCAGGTGATACCCATCAATGTTTCTTTCTCCCTTCCTCTATCTTTAAAAAAAATCAATAAAATCATATTTTTAAAAATTCACTTCCTACAAATCACAAGAAATAACCCTTGGCTTTCCTCTAAGTCATCTAAGCCACGGTAAGCCAGGCATTAGATGTTTTTTGAATTGCTCTGATTTTCCTAGTATCCTCATATTGCTCCCAGGGAAGTACTCATCACATCCTCTAACTGTCACGCTTTCCCCCTACCCTATTCCTCAGGCTTTGAACAGTGGGAACACCAGCAGACACACCTTACCACCTTATCCCTAAGCCTTTTCTTTAACAATCTCCAACATCTCTCTTCTAGAACCTAACAGTAGGATGACTGCAGCACGGACCTGAATGTAGAAGGGAGCCCTAAGCCCCAGCTCCACCAACCCACAGTGAATTAGCCTCAGGCAAGTCAATCAGTTTTCCTGATCCTGGGGGTGGGGGGTGGGGGGTAGGCCTGGATTATCCCCAAATGCCCTTTCAGTTCTGAGAAATCTGGAATGTCTTCTAGGGAATAGGAGGGACCCAGAGTATTTCTTCTGAAAACATAAGTCAATAAAAGTTCTGACTGGAAGGAAGAAACATGAAATCCAGCCTCTTTATTCTGCATAAGCAGCCCTTTCCCCCTACATCTCCCAAGAACTACCTTAACATCTATCTCCCTCTACAGTGCAGCAAACTAAGGAGACTCCACTTCCCCATTTAGAGCTTAATCAATCCATCAGTACATTTGTATAGGCCTCTGTACACAATGTTCCTAAAGTGCTTTCCAAAAATAACAAACATCTAAAAAAAACACTCCAACCTCCACACACAAAGGAATCATTGCAGAGCTGTAGGGGCCCAGAGAAAAAGAGAAAAGATGCAAGAGAGGACAAAAGAGAACAAAACAAGGCGGACTCAGGACAGAAAAAGGGAGAGAGAAGGCAGAGTGCCTGAGAGGAAGAACTTGGCTCAAGTGGTAAATTTCCAATGGCGAAGGCAGGAAACAACTTCTCTAGTCTGAGCTTCATCAACAACTGATAGGCTGAACTAGGACAAATCCCTCGCCTCCCTAGGCCTGTTTCCTCACCAGTAAAATGACAGTTCCACTAAATATCTCTCAGGGAGGCTGCGATAATGGAAAGATTCTGCCAGACTGAATCAGAATCTCTGGTCTACTTGGATATTATTAGTTTGGTGGTCTAGGGCAAGTTATGTTCGCATCTATAAATTAAATAAATAATATCCACCACCACACTGAGTTGTTGTGGGGTGGAAATGAGATAAGCATGAAAAATGCTGGACAGTATTTGGAACAGTGGGCCCTTAAATTAGTGTTGGCTAAGGTCCCTTCCTGCCCTAACAGTTTGACTGAACCTCCACTAGACTCCCAAAGGACACTGTTTCTGCTGGTCTGGAAATATAGGCCCCGAGCCTAGGCTCAAAACACAAAGTTAGTTTAGCCCTGGAAGGTTTAGCTCAGCAGTTAGAGTGTCAGCTCACGGACAAATGAGTCTCAGGTTTGATTCCAGTCAAGGACACATGCCTCGGCTGTGGTTCGTCCCTGGCCCTGGTCAGGGTGGTGTGAGAGGCAACCAGTCAATGTGTCCCTCTCACATCGATGTTTCTCTCTCTTTTCCTCTCCCTCCCTCCCACTCTATCTGAAGATAAATAGAAAAATATCCTTGAGTGAGGATTAAAACACACAAACAAAGTTAGTTTAGACAAAAGAATAGCCAATAAGTTAAACAAGTGAATTGCCAAGGTTCTCTCCCATGTTATTAAAAAATATATTTAAAGAATTTAGCAATCCCTCCTGCAAAATTAAATAATTATGCATATGACTATACTAAAGTAAGAGTTTTGTCTCAGAGGGCCTGGGAGATTTTTTAGCCTGAATACTTTATAGGGAAGGACAAGGCCATGGAGCTTACATGTGCGTTTTACACATACAGATGTTACCTCATTAAATAGGAGCTATTACCCCCATTTTACAGATATATGAAATACAAGGGGCCTAGAAGTCTTTCCTTCTGCTTTCCTATTTCAAAAGGCTCCCTGCTCTCTTGTTTTCCAAATATATGGTCAAGCTCAGTTGCCTCTCTTCTAGGAAAACTCATCAATTCAGTCCACAAGCATGAAAGGCTCTTCTGAACTTTTAGCAGAACTGCCTGGACTATGAATGAGACAACCAATCATATCCCTCCCCTAGGGCCCACTCACAATTACTTAACTGTGTATACTGCATTTACTGCAGGCAGTAAGTTTCTGTAGAGACAACCAATTCTGCCTCTTCTGTGCCCCAAGGTGCTCAACACTTAGTTTTCTCTGAAGGAAGAAAAAAGATAAGTCCAAAAGACAATTTGTGTAGGCAATACTAGGTGGCAAAGTAGCAGCAGATATAAAAGAGGTGGGTACTGCCCTGGCCGATTTGGCTTAGCGGTTGGAGCATCAGCCTGCAGACCAGAGAGTCCCGGGTTCAGTTCCCGCTAGGTGAATGTACCAAAAAAATAAAAAAGAGGTAGGTAAAGGGTATAACTCCTAAAGTTTTGACCAAGTAGCAAAACAGACGCTTAGCACAAACAACCATAATTGGTCTGTAGACCCCAGAGATATATCTATGTGTCATCACACCCCTCTGCTTGGTTCCCATCAGAACTGACTGAAACAAGTTTCAATACCCACTTGGCAGACATGTCTGGGAAGCTGATTTGCTAAATCTGACTTCTTAGGGTTCTGTGTTTACAACGACTATATTACAATTCAGCAAATATTTACTGGCTGTCTTCAGTGCAAGGCTTGGGTAATCACAGATGAAGTGGGGTATAGTTCTTACTCTCAAGAAATTTACAATCTACATGAGAAGAATTATATGTTTATCTATATAACACTGTGAAATTGTTACTAGGACCCAATAAAAAAAAGGTTTTTAAAATGAGTGCTATGAGAACACAGAGGAGACAGGAACAAAGACTGGATTGAGAGTAGAGGGGAGGTGAAAGAGAAAGCTTTGAGCTGGACTTTGAAGATCATGCATATATTTAATGAGGTCTCAGGAGAGTTTTGTATGCACTGTGCTAATTATTAAATAAGAAAAGAAAATGAAAGAACAACTCACCAAAAGGATGGCGGATGTGCGTGTGTGTGTGTGTATGAGAGAGAGAGAGAGAGAGAGAGTTTTAGAATGCTGCTGTCTGGTAACAAGAAATAAATATGTATCTATATACATGTTTACTCAAGAAGATGTTTAAA